GGGGGGGTTTTTAGTTTTTACTATATAATGACAAAAGTACCGAAAATTATGAGAGAAAAAACAAACTGTTTTCGCTCCCTTATGTTATAAAACATTTATCAGCACCCAATTTTTTGGTAAAATATGAGAAAAAAAAAAAGAAGACGGATCACATTGGGTAATTAGATACCAAACATGTAAAAGCTTAAAATTGCATGTGCCCGCAAAATCTCAAAAAAAACTACTGCGCCTAAAATTGACCATAGGCGACACTTTAAAAGCTTTTACTGCTCATCAATTTAGTGTTATCAGTGATTGATGGGCCAAAAATGATTGCCCTCACACAAACACACGTGTGGCATAATCATTGTTTTCGAATGTAGGCGCACCTGACACATATTTACGTTTATATGTGCATGCATGCGGGGGCAGGAAACTTACATTTTTGGGGGTGTTTTTTTTTTATTATTTTTTTTTTTACACTTAACTTTATTGCCATCACATAAGGGGATAACAAGCCCCCTATGTGATAGCCAATATAAAATGACAGGTCCTCTTTATGGAGACATCAGGGGTCTCTAAGACCACTAATGTCACCTAGGGACCCTCAAAGAAGCTGATGAAGCGCAGATCTGCTTCACCAGCTTCTTCTCTGGCTATAGCAGCCAGAGAAAATGATAGCTAAAAGGTGAAAGTGACGTAATACATATCACTTCCAACTTTACAGAAACAGGAAGAGAGATCAGCGGTGGGGGAATGCTGATCTCTCCTCCGTTCTCTGTATAGGCAGCTGCTGTGTCGGTCCTGGGCCGGCAGGCTGGACAGCAGAGCCCAGGATAAACAACAGCAGTGGTGGAGGGGGGGGATGCGTGGCAATGGAGGGGGCGCACACTGCGTGTAGTGCTCATACAAGCGATCGGCTGGCTGTAGACAACGGCCGAACGCTTGTATGTAACAGCCAGTACCGGCTGTTTAGATTCCCAGTGGGATTCTAAACAGAAAAAAAAAAAATCACGTGCATGTATGTCCATCGGCTGGGAAGCATCCGCTGTCCACACGTGTTTTTACATTGGGGGGCCGGCAACTGGTTAAGGAGGAATGGGCTACCGGCAGTCCATTTTTCCATTGCTACATAAAAAATCCAAGATGGCGGCTCTCGTAGATTAGAGCCAAGACCAAAATGCACAGAGGAGCCTTCACAGTGGCTTCCACATATTTGACCAAAAGTTGTGCAACTAAAACCCGTTTTCAAAGCAAATTGTTAGACAATTGCAGGCCGGCTGGTAAGCGTGCTGGGAAAATGTTGTACTCACGTCTGTTCTCACTACAGCACCGAACTGCAACTGCCAGCCGAAGCACCAAAGAGAAGAGGCCTCTAAAGACCGGTTCCACAGAAGCTGGAGCCCCTCGCTTTCATAAAAGGTCTATTTAAGACGATGAAGTAAAAATCTCACACCGATTTCACATAAATCCGGTTCTGGAGGAGGCAATGCGAATGTTGCAACACGTCTTCTGAGGATCCTGCACCAGAACTTCCCCTTTCACACTTGGTTTACAAATTGCGTGCGTCCGTGAAACGGCGAAAAACTGCAGTACCCCAAAAAGTCCACAGAAGACGCTTTAAAAGCCCCCACAGGTCATCAATTTAGAGATACCCCAAAATACTGTCCCTAGAATTATTGCTCTCACTCCGGCGTGCGCGGCGATACCCAACATGTGTAGCGCGTTCGTCGTTTTCATACGTAGGCGCACACCAACGCGTGTTTACGTGGTGACGCGCGTGCTCGCGAGGGACTTTTACATTTTTTTTATTATTATTAGATTTATTTGATTTTAATTTTAAAAACTGTTGTTTTTTTTAACTTTACTTTGACTGCCATCACATGGGGGGGCTTACAAGCCCCCCCATGTGATAGCAGATGGTGGTGACAGGTACTCTTTAAGGTGATGCTGGGGGTCCAAAAGACCCCCAGTGTCACCTTTACACTGGAAATAAGCTATTGAAGTGCAGATCGCACTTCAATAGCTTATAGCTGGGCTGCAGGAGCCCAGAACTGACAGCCCAGGGACCGGAAGTGATGCAATCTGCATCGCTCCCGGTCCCATAGAACGGGGAGGGGATCGATGAACGGAAGTTACCTGATCTCCTCCCCAGCTCCCCGCGGACACCAAGGATGCCGGTCCCGCGCCCATAGGAGGGGCAACGGAGCCCGGGAAGCATGGCGGCAGTGTCCGGCGGCCCCTTCTTCGGGACGCAGAAGCGATCTGGCGACAGGTAAGTCACCAGAATCGCTTCTGTTGTAAAGCCGACAGT